TCACCCAACAAAGGCTACTTATGCTATTTGTAATTCTGCAGATGTGAATTTTTTGCAATATTGTTGAATTTATACAGATATTTTTATTGCTACATGTACAAGTACCAACCTTGAAATTTCTCTTGACAGGTTTGCTAGGTATATATTCAGGTCCAGTACAATCACTAGATTTAGCTACGTAGGTATTTTTTTAATAGAAATAAATTACTTTGGTAGCTAAATAAAGCTACTTCAGGTAGGTAATAAAAGCTAACTAAGTAGGTAAATCAAGCTACGTGTATAGCTAAATCTAGTGATTGTACCAGACCTGATCTTAGACAATAGTCTGCTCAGAATTATTCGTTCTACTACTATTTCCTTTAGGAATGAATATAGTACGAATTATTCAATACAGACTATTTTGGAACTCTTCAAAATCGGAGGTTTGAATGAATGGGACATTACATAGGAAAAATAAACAACTTTATATTTTGTTGGATTTAAACATTTTAAAGGTAAGAAAGGAAAGTTTTATTGTGATAGAGACTTAAAGGGATGTTCAAAGGAAAAAGCTGAAGCGAGCAGATAATTCATTTCAGCCCATATTGATTGAAACAAGCGGTCGAAATCTGAGCAAAAAATCCCTAATCACTTTGTGTGGCAGTGGACTGAGATGTCGTAGTGGACGTCCGACCAAATATTTTAGTCCTTACGACATCTCGCTGAGATTAACGGAACCGTACATCGATCCCGATGGTTTTCATAATGTTTATGCATTTTATACATAGGCCACTAGTATATACGTAACAAATTACATTCACAGGAGGGACAATTTTCTTCAAATCACACATAATTTATGCCTAAAAGGATTAGATGACCGACATCTGTTTATAAACTTCGTAAACATAATCATTATCTACCTTCTCTACAGAAGAGCACAACAGGGGAGATAATTCTAACAAAATATAAATAAATAGTAAAATACGTTTTTTTTTTCACAGGAAAAGCAGGAAAAAAATATTTATAGCTTTTATAAAATTAAAAATAATTTGCATTGTTTATATTTGTAAATATTTTACACAAAATTCATTAAAATTACTGTTAATAGTAAAACTTATAAAATCATGAATTTTTCCATCATTTGAATTTGAGGTAATTTCATTACGATATAACTTTTCTGTCCTTGAGAGTCCAATGGTGGATTTTACATATTGTTGGGATAATATCCTAGAGACTCTTAAATGCACAAAATTCTGAAAAAAGAAGCGTCACTTTCTAAGAAACGTATCCCTGAATATTAACAAAAAATGAACCATTATCATTTCTTGGCACCATGCCAATATTTGTGCCCTCGGAACAGCCTTCTATATAGGGATTTTTCAAAAAAATTGATTCCAACTTAATTTTACGACTTATTTCTATGAGAACACGTTGCCCTTTTATTTATATATTGTTTTTTTCTGTTTTACTTTTAAATATTGAAATTGTCATTTTTACACCAACTTTTTTTGCATTTTCCCTTGCATATTGACCAAAATGAATTATTGGCTGTTGCTAAAAATAGAAACAACCGATGCAAAAATAAACAACATATTTCTGACTCTCAATGGGCGTCCTTTAAGTTAATAATAAAAATTAGTTTGTTCTTGAGAGTGCCTCCCAGAGCATTTTTCTATATATCTGCATGGTTTTCTCGTAGACAGGCTCTTAATATAAATGATTCTTTTTTTTAATTTAGTTTCTGGTGTTTTGTCGTTCATCTTAGAATATCATCAAAGTCCTCTAAAGTATTCTCGGTCTTAAACATCTGTTAGTGTTATATTTGTCTAATTTTTGTCTGGCGTAAGATTACATTAACTTTTTCTTATATAAAAAGAAACTACCACGGCATTGTAATGATTTGTGTTACACAATTTTGTTGGCATTATTTTCGAACCTTGACATATCTGCAAACCTCTTTAAAAAAACTTTTGTACATAAGTTCACACTTAATTAGCGGTGATGAATATAAGGTACTCTTATTATCAGCCAATGATCTAATTTTCAAAATTTAATCATGAGAATGTGCTTAAAATCAAATTTCAAAAATTCAATCCTTTATGAAGATTTAAAAAACCTGGTCTAATTATGAAATGTCTGCTGAATGCACAAAGATCTGCACAAAGGTCTCTTCAACTCAACTAATTTTGTGACATTTTAAATATAAAATTAAATAAATTGATCCCCTTGTCATAAGTATGACCTTAAATTTTAGTCCATTTTCTATTTAATATTTTTCATAACATGCAAGTATTTTACTCCATCCACTTGTACATTAAGATGTTTTCACTGTAACACAGCTTATCCTAGCTATGAAAGGCTATTGAGTAAAATGGGGAAAAAAGTTATTCACAGTAAATCACACTTATATCAAATTCAAAACTACATGTATAAAACTCTGAATCAAATAAAATTATTTTTTCAAATTCATAGAAACAACACCTCTTAAAATCGTAAATAGTTTAAAGAAAAACAAGGTACAGTTTCGATCCAAATTTGACCTTGTATTTTTCTAAAATATGGAAGCAATGTACCGGTAAGAGATAAAAATCTTTTATGCATCACAACAATTCATTGCAATAAGAATATTTATACTGCTTTTCTCCGTCATCATTATAAGCGTTAATGTTTGCGTATTTTCCAATTCCAATTTCCAATATTTTTTTTTTAAGTAGCAAAATACACCTTTAGATTGTAAAGAGCACACGCACCACCCACAAGGCGGCTTGGGACATTGTTTTCTTATTAAATTTACCCATGAAAAGAGTCATTTTGGAGGGTTTTTTTTTCTTTAAAAAATCAAATTGTAGCACGTTAATTAAGTTACCTGTATATTTTCAAATTGGTCCTCATTTTTATTTTCAATTATTCATCTGCTTTTCACAATACCTTATGTACCTTAAGTAAATACCATTGATTTCACGAATTTTTCTTGATAGTCTTCCTTTAAAAATATAGACATTTACTTATCGTTCATAAAGTGCAGTTAATTGTTATTTTAAGTCCTTTCGGAGAATTTTGCACCCGTAAAGAGAAGTCATCATATACAAATTAATAGCTTTAATCGGTATACAGGACCATTGAGCAGTGAGAGTTTCATATCGTTCAATGCCTATCGTTTCAAGTGACCTTGGTCAATAAGTTCTCTTTCGAAAGACTTGCAAATGCCAGGCGCTTGGCAAAGAAAAAGTCTGCATTTAAGTTAATGTTTTAGGTTTAAAGCGGCCGCCGATGAAAACAAGGGTTACACCATGGTCTCCTAATTTCGAATAAATGCCCAAGTCGTTAGGTTTTTTTCTACCAGATGCAGATTAAATGTTGTATTAGTAGACTTTTCCTTCAAATCATTGAGCCAAGATGATTCTCTGACAAGGAAACGCCAGCTGTAGTACCTTTAGAAAACCATAAGTTTTCTTAATTGAACTGAAACCGAATTATATACAAACATTTGCAAAATAATTAGGAAAAATAAGTTGTACCTCGATAGAAATCAGATTCATTTATCTTTCCCCTAAGATATTTTTTATGTAGATGTACAGAACTAAACAAATTCAGTTTCTTGAAGGAGACACTCAGCATTTCCTCATGTGCATATGTTTGATTCAAAACAGTATAGGAAGATCAATTATTACAATGTATACACAGTCAGTTAGTGACCTAATACGTACGGAGTCAAACAGGGTGTGAAATGGAAATCCGTATTGGCGAGGCGAAGTTGAGTTCCAATATGGATTTCCATTTCACACCCTGCGTTATTCTCTTTAGAGAAGTGGACAGGCTATCGCAAGAAAACCATCCTTTATGAGTTACTAATCAATTATCACAAGTTCTCCATCCTGGATTCAAATTCTGAGCAAATAACTCTAGAAGGATAACAAAAATTCTAATTCGGATAAAATTGGAAATATTTTTAAAAATACATAATTTGCTTGTAAAAACAAAAATGAGTCTCTGAAAAAATAAATCACCTGGCAAATATACATGTCACAGGGTTATACATTTCATTACTATCTATTTCTACCCTATTGTCATCCAGATAAAAAATGCGCTGCTGAGATTTTTTTAAAGTTATTTCACAACAAAGTAAAGTTACGTAAGTAGTCATGTAACAATTTTTGTTTTTAGTTTTCAGCTGACCTGAGCCGAAAGCAATATATAGGGAAAAACTTTGAAAAAACTTCTTCCCAAGAACCACTTCAGAAAAGCTGAAACATGTGGAAGCATCATGAGGTAGTGTTGATTCTAAATTGTTCAAATCATGACCTCTGGGGGAAGGGCAAGGCCACAATAGGAAACACAAGATTTAAATTGAAATATATAGAAAATACTTCAAAAATCTTCACTGGAACTACTGGGCCAGAAAAGCTGAAACTTATGTGAAAGCATCCGTGTGTAGTGTGAATTAAAATTGTCGTCCAAATCATGACCAATGTGGTAGGGTTGGTTCACAATATGTATAACAAGGGGGATTTTGGTAAAGAACGGCATGGTCAAAGCTACTCAGGTGAGCGATAAGGCCCATGGGCCTCTTTTTTTACATATGTGTAAACAAATAAACTGTTAAATAGATTTGCAGGAAATTTGTATCCTGATGCAGGTTAATTTTTAATGAGTAAATTTTATATACAAGTATGAACTTCTACAATATACTCGAATATACTTAAAAATGCCAAACTGGCCAAAACTGAACAATCAAGTCCCGAAAATCTTCCGCTTACATCTGGGTGTACATTTGAATATTGATACACGGACTTTCCAATAAAGTTTTCAACGCACAATTTGCAGCAAATTTCGACTTGTTGATATGCAGTTTGAAGACCTTCTACTTTTCATTCATATCATATTTCTTCCATGTTTTCGGACGGATGAAAATAAAACTTGCTATGACAGGTGAAAAAAAATTAATTTTTATTCCTTTATTATGTAGAGAATTTAATAAGATTTATTATAATAATTGCAGATGAAAAGAAATAACTACATTTTTTGTTTCCAGCTATGAAAATGGAATAATTAGGAAATGCTGTAAAAATTATTACTTAATAAACAATAGTTGTCAAGGTGAGTCACAAATTTAAAAAAAAAAATTAAACAAATGATTTTTTTTCAATAACTCTTTATTAAAAAAAATTATAAGCATCACTAATTGAAAGGTATAATACTGATTCTTAGTGTGTCCTTCCGGATGTCCTGAGTGCTATTGTTATCAATTTTGTGAGGGATTGACGAAAAGATCTGGATGTGATGCTGCCTGTTCTTGTCCAGACTGTAAACTTATGTTGAACTGTAAGCAAAAATCAGGTAAAGGTCTTCAACAATATTCGGTGATCAAGAAAAATTCCGAAGAAGAAGCGGTATTCCATTATACCATCGTGTTTTTGTCCGAAAGTGTGTCTTTCTATTATAAATTTTCGTCGCAGTGTTCTTAGCAACTTCCAATTACAGGTGCTTGAAAATTTAGCACTCTCTATAAGGTATTCAATGTTTAATGAAGGTATTCTGAACAAATCTGAATAATTTTAAACTAGTTTAAATGTGTTGCTAGATAACAATAGAATGGAAATGAACAAAATTCACAAGACTGATAACAGAGACGGTTATTTTGCACGTTAAAAGTTTGTTAAGAGTTAGCTGTCCTTTATGAACAGAAGACAATTTCTACGATAAATAATTCATTTTATCACATAGTTTAATAAAGAGAAAGTTTGTGTATATTTCGCTAAGAGATTTGTTGGAAATTCGAATTATTTTTCATGACTCTAGTAATCAAATCAAATTTGTAAATTCCTTTGGTCAAACATGTTTATGTAATAACATCTTCTGTAATCAATATTCTATCATGGTTATAAAAATCGAATCATTCATTTATCATAGGCAAAATATGGTCATAATACATTGAATACCCTAATAATGCCATATTGTACGATTTCATTTTGTACGGGTTTTATGTAATATCCCTATTTATCAGTAAGTATGTCCGTACAAAATTTTCTCAGTTTTATCAGAAATTCTAACAGTAGATGTTTAAAATTACACTCGCTATGAAAAAAAAAGCAAACAGTGGTAATTATTTTTGTATGAAATATATCTTCCTGTTTATCCGATCAACTGTCCATACAAAGTTTATATTTCATTGAGTATACTAGCATATGTTCATAATTATGTATGGTTCAGAGCTAGGACGATGGAATGTACACTTTGATATCATTAAAAATATGTTTTATATTGGCACAGATTAGAGGAACTAGATTGTGAATTTCCTTTACTTAATGAGACTTTTATATGTTCTAAAACACTAAACCAAAATGGTGTTACTTCATGGCATTTCTGTAATAATTTCGTTCTTAACTATCTTGACATAAAACCCTGTGATGTTTTAGGTATGTCAACCCCCACGGTTTAAAATGCTTAAGATATATTACTTAATTTCTGTAAAACTACTTAAGATAAAGACAGGAATATACATGTACATAAAGAGAGCTCTCATTAAATGTAAGATCCAGTTTGTTGTATCATTTGGATCCTCTTCCTCTTTTTTTTTTATTTTTTCCTTCACGTTTGTAAATCTTTTTCTTTTTGCTCCTCCGGGGACTTAAAGTGGACTGATAAAACTTTTTATCTTGTGTTCACATCAGTGCTGTGATAATATTTTCATTATACATGTAAAAAAAAAAAGTATTAATCGCTAGATTGAAATAAATAATATATTTTGTTGCATCAAACAAACCATTCTTTGAAGAATGTCATAATCAAATTTCAGTTTTTTTAAAATCCTGTATATGTACAGAAAAAATGCAGTGTCTATATTTTAAGGCTAACAGAGAAATACATATTTCAGGTTCCATCACGAGCACATTTATGCGTTTCAACACTTCTCAAACGTCAACGGCGAAATCGGCGAACTTTGAAGAAAACATTCAAAGCTCAAAGCCATCTAAAAGAACCCTTTCTCTTTCCAATTATAGTTATGCTATAATTATCGTCGGAACTCTCGTAACTGCTGTATTATTGGTAATACTGAGCCGGGAAGTGCTGGAATTTCGCAAAATATTATTACAACCTCTACTGATGAATAATGATGATCCACAACGTCATGAAAATGCAGATGACACTGATGTTTAAGCAGAAATTTTTTGAAGTATTTAAAAAATGTTAATATGCTACATATACATCAATGGTAGTGATGACAAAAATATAAGTATGGATTTGTATATATTTTTAAGTTTCTGTTGCTTTCAATGCCACTTATAAAATATTTCTATGTCGATATAAGAAATAGAGCAAGATAAATGTACTTTTCTTCCGATCCACGTAAAAGGAGCATCTCCGTATTGGTGAAAAATTCTCGAGGAGGACATTAAAGAGCATACAATCAATCCACGTAGAAGGTTTTTCTTGTGTAATTATTCTGCTTTCAAGAAGGACAAACTAAGGACATTATTTTTGTTTAAAATGACAAACAGGTTTTTGGAAGACCTGGTCCTTGTAGACAATATAATAATAATTATCAATATGCTCATATCAAATCAGAGAGATTACCGGTTATTTTCGTGATTTGGGCTTAAAGCTTTTCATTTTTAGCATGAAGTTTAAAGATTCAAAACCAAGCTGTTTACTACTGAAACTTCAATTGGAGGAGTGCAGGATATTGTATACTTACATTTGCATTTCTTACATTTTTTAAACTTCATTTCCGACATTTAATTTTTTTCATTTCCAGAATCTACCTTAGTTATCACCAAACCATTTTTATCCGTTGTAAGTTCACAACACTTACATATGTGCCCTCGGGAAAATTATTATTCACAGCTTCATTGAGAAATTTATAAAACTCATAAATTGGATTTAATTCAAGGATTTATTTATGATTCCTTCCTTTAAATTTTTCAAAGAAAAAGTCTTACAAATCTGTTACTAAAGGTACTATCTGAAAAATTTCGGAAATGAAAAACCAAAAACAGAATGTCAGAAATGAAAACTAAAAAATGTCGAAAATTAAGTGTTGATAATTACAAAAGTTTCCGGGAATGAAATGCAGCCAAATTTATATTGTTTATTGTTCAGCTTCATCCTACAGAGCTAAAATTCCGTCGTGTCACTCATTCGTTTTTAGAATAGAATGCTCATTGATTACTGTGACAAGGGAGCTAGTTTTGTTGAATTTTGTTGAATTCCAGAAAAAGATTGATAAGAATGCATTCTGAAATACAGAAAAGGATTTCATTACCATAACTACTTATCTTTGAAACAAATTCTTTTCTATTTCGGTAACCAATTTTGTAATTATTTGCAACTTTCTTCTTTCTTGCCAATTTTTAATTGTTTTGTAATTTTTATCAAAGATCAGAGTTTAATACTAAAGCAAACATCTATAGGTTAATGCGTTTGTGTTGTAATTTTTAATTGGTATATTTTTCAGCAATGGAATCTTACTTTTAATGTCGTCGGTTATATATGTATTATTACTCTAGATTCCTAATTTTTTGGATTACTTATTTTTATAGAAAAATGGCTCTTCTTAGTCAATTCGCGGGAATAATAATTCACTAAAAGCCAGTTGATCATTAAAATTTACATAGATTTCAGCAACATGAATTTCGTGAGTGTTGCTTTTCTTGACAATTCCTTGCGTATCATCAGAAATATATTATACATGTAGTACTACATACGCGTTGTTGATACGCAAGGTGATGTTATAGAACAGAAGAAATCTACAAATAAGAATTCAATGCTTATACATATTCAGATTTTTGTCCCTCCCTCACAATTGTTATTTTCCTTAAAGTGCCTTTCAGAACTGGTGTCCTTAATGCTGATGTACTTTAAGACGTACATGTAAGAGCCGTTAATTTGGAAAAAATACCAGAGTATATGGAGAGAAAAGTAAACTAAATAAATTCTAGGAATGTATTGGTTTTTTTTTGTTCAAGTCAAAAAACTTGGTAAAAAAATTCTGATAAACCAGTAAAATATGTTTTTGTTTTGGATAGCTGTAATTTATCAAAAAATAAAATTGATTCAAACATCTCTTTAGAAAGGACTTAGTATATTCTGAACTCTGACGTTAGCCAATTTTCCAACTCTTTCAAAATTTTAAAGATTTTTAATCGGATATCTAAATTGCTATTGTTTTTGTTCAAGCTTAAAGAAATTCACAATAAGACTAAATCATGTACAATCAACTTATGTTACCAACAGGAAATATTAGAACTTCTATGTAAAGATTTTAAATATATTGTCCTGAATATTTGTTAAAAAACATTTCTAGATTTAAATCGTCTTTGAACTAATTAAGAGATACTGAGTTTTAAATAAACCCATTTTCAAAGTTTTTTTTAGCATTTGACAGTGTTTGAGAATGACTTTTTTACCTTATCGTTTTTGTTTATTTACTACTTTTATGTTTCTGGAGTGCTGCTAGTGAAACCTGCTATCAAAGGTGTGAGCAATTAAATTCCTCTTTTTATTATGATTTTTTTTAGATAATTATTTAATTTTAATTAATAAATGATATTATAAGTTGAATTACTGTTTTGTTTTAGAATTAAAGATGGCATAGTCACAAAATGCTGTACAAATTAATACTTAGTTAGTGATACTTGCCGAGGTAAGTATTAAATCTTAATAACGTCTTGTTAAAAATCATCAGAAATTAAAAACTGTATAAAGGGGGATTTTATAGGAATACATATTAATAAAATATTTGAAAATTCCCCCAAGAACAAATATACCAAAAAAGAGGAAATTCAAGTGGAAGCATCTTCTAGTTGTATAAATTCAAGTTTGTTCAAATCATGACCCCCCGGAGCAAGGGTGGGGCCACAATTTGGTATCAAATTTTAACATAGGAATACTTAGGATAATCTTCTGAAGAGCAACAAAGCCATGATTGTTTATTGTGATAAAGATGCATCCTCTGATGGTGTAGATTCAAGTTTGTTCAATTCATGACCCCTGTGGGTTTGGTGGCGGGGGCCATATTCGGGTATCAATGTATAACATACATGTAGCAATACTTAGAAAAAAAAATCTTTAGAAATCTTTTTCCTAAGAATTGCAAC